TGTTCCCTGCTCTTGGACTGCAGAGGACTTTGAAAGGCCGTGTTCACGACTCCAGACCCCAGGGTAGCAGGTTGTGTCTAGTGTGGCTTTGTCACTTGTGGGTGGAACATGGTTCATTGGTACCAGGTGCTGACAGGTCAGCAAGCACTAAGTCCCAGCATAAATTACAACAGAATTCTTCTTGACCATCTCTTCCCTCCGTTACAGAGCTTTCCTTGAGGGTCTCAGGATGCAAAGTGTACATCAAACCCCTCCCCCTCACTTTCCACTGGGAGCACTGCTGTCTGCAGGTTTAAGGAAAGACCAGATCTGGAGTGGGGAGCACCTTTAAAAATGAGCATTCGTGTAGTGGAGTAGAGCTGGGGGTCAGTGGATGGTCTACGATTTTATTTGTTTCAGTCTCCTTTTTTCAATCTTAGAATTAATGGGAATTAGTTCCAGATTCTAGCATTAGCTATTTTAATGTTATCACTATTATTAAGAATTCCATTTTCTGATATGTTGCCTTCACAAGTATTTCTGAGAGGCCGCACTGTGGACTGTTGACACATCACCATTTTACACACGAACTCAGCTATTACACAAGCTTTTCTAGCTATGATTTTAACCAAAAAACTTTCATGAGCAACATGACAAATGGAAATATAAGTTATACTGAAAAAGAGAACTGAGGACATTATTCTTTCATGGACTACAAATGACCACATTTTGATAATTTTCCCTCTTTTCTTCTTAATATATCCAGTACTGGCAAAAACAGCCAAATGAAAATAGCCATGAGGCCAGCATTCGCTTTTCTCTACGTAAGAGCAATACCATCCACATTTCTCCAGGTCTCTACTTATAGGAAATGTTATTATTTAACATTTATCAAACCGCTGCAGCACTGGGCACTTGGAGAACACAGACAAGATACAAACAATTCTTATGCTCATCTATGGTTGGGAGTCGCTGGTGGAGGCAGCGGTTAGCATGGAAGTGCTCGTCCCAGCTCCCTCCTAACCCCACCCTTCAAAGACATGGTTTGCCTTCTAAGAGTGACAGCAATAAGGCATCCTTGATGAGACATTATTTCATCGTGGCCGAGGAGGCCTGCGACCACGGCAGCCGTTTGTGAGAACACTGACCCCGTCAGTTGCCTGTCTCATGTCCCAGGTGAGTCTATGTTAATCAAATGGGCAGGGTTCTGTGAGAACAGAAAAGGCACCCCGCACTGTCCCAGAGAAAGATGTAACAGGTCTGGGAGATGTGAGCGATCTGGACCCTAGGCTATTTTAGTAGACGATTTTGTGAGGCAGGGAAAATCCACCAGATATTTTCATGTCCTTGAAGAAGCAGTTATTCCAATCCTCCAGTGCCCTTTGACTTGATCCTGTTCACCTAGCAGTCTTATCATTACTAATTATTTTTTATAGAAACTTTATTATCTGGCAAGGGCCTAATGAATGCGAACCTTCTCATCACTGGGAAGGAATCTTCCTCTCGTATTGATTTAATATATTGGAATTGGGGGTTGTAAATTAGTCCTCTGTGGGCTTGGTTAACAAGACTCAGCCTTCAAAACTCTGATTAACTCCAAACCCACTGACAAAATTTGGTTCTCTGGCCTGCAACATTGAAGGACACATCCTTGACTGCCCTGTGAGGCTCGATTTGGGGAAGGGAGTGAAGGCGTGGTGGCAGCATGTTCTGACAGCACTCTGGAATTTTCTAATTTCAAAAATAACTTGGGAAAATTGATTTTAAAACTGTATTTTGATGGAAAATTTTATTTGTGATCCAAAGTCCTCAGTTTTCCTTATATTTTTTCAAGATGTGAAAATTGAGTTAAAGAAATCTGTTGGGTTTCCATCGAAATGACGCCAATTAATTTTTTTCCTGTTCCTCAGGACAATTTCTTGACTTAGCAATAATATAACTTCCTGGCAACCCCTCAGCAGTCCTGAAGGTAGGCTTCTGAAACACTTCTGCTTTCAGCAGGAAACGAGTTGGCTTTCATACTCCCTTTTCCTTCCAGCATCTAGCAGAAGAATTAAATAATTTTTTTAACCTTCTTTAGAGAACGTGTCTAGTCCTTTTAGAAAATCTTGACTCTGACAAACATTTCCTAAAAGGACCTTTCTTTTTTTCTTTGAGGAAGATTAGCCCTGAGCTAATATCTGTTGCCAATCCTCTTCTTTTTGCTGAGGAAGACCGGCCCTGAGCTAACATCTGTGTCCATCTTCCTCTACTTTATATGCAGGATGCCGCCACAGCATGGCTTGCCAAGTGGTGTGTAGGTCCGTGCCTGGAACCACGAACCCTGGGCTTCCCAAGTGGAGCGTGCGAACCTAACCCTTATGCTACCAGGCGGGCCCCTGAAAAGGCCTTTTTTGTTCCCTGCCAAATAAAGAGATTATCATTGGTGAGGTATGTACTGCTTTTGCCATTACACCATGAAATCCCAGGATACTTGAAGAGTATTCATTAGTTCAGGAATAAGCAGTTTGAATTGCTTAGTACATTGCATGGACGGGATCGTCATAAATATCTGAAAAGGTTTAGGGAAGAACAGATGCCTGGAGTAAGTCCTTTTAGGTAGTTAATTCTTTTATTTCAAATCCCCCCTATTGGTCTGAACTATCTTTTTCCTCGTGCTAGATTATGACTTCCCTGAAGATCATAGTCCTCAGGGAGGTCTTCGAATATTCCTCAAGGTTTAGCGTTCCTCTAGCCCTAGCAGACAGAACAGTCTCCTTTCTCCCTCTGCTGAGTTACTGATGTCCGGGGCTGAAGGGACCTAGGGAGCCTCGCTCAGGGGACTGATCAAAACATCACCAATAAGTTGGCTTTAGGTATTTGGAGAGAAAAAAACTCATACACAATTTGATTAAAATTTTCAGTATCTGAGCCCTCAAACAGTTGAAAAAATATAGTGATCATTGATGTCGATGAAACAAATTAGGATACAAGATATGGATGGATATTAATCCAATAAAATATTTTATAATTAGGTCCTTGTTTCCTGTCACCGTCCTCCCCTGCCCTTTGTTCCTGGGCACAGAAGGGACTATTTCTCTACATGTGGTAGAATGATCATCGGTCTTCATGGACATCAGCAGCCTTTCCCGATACTGCTCTCTGTGCGACAACCAGAAGGACAATCGATAAGGCCAAGCATCCAAGGACCTCTTCATCACCTGGCCACTTATCACCTTCCTTCATCTCTTGTGGGCTTCTTTACATTTTCCCCTTAATTCTAACAGAACTTAATTAAAAACTTGACAACTTAATAATTTATAAAAAATGTTTCAGGGGGCTGGCCAGGTGGTGTAGTGATTAGGTTTGTGCGCTCCGCCTCAGCAGCCCAGATTCGCAGGTTCAGATCCAAGGCGTGGACCTACACACTGCTTGTCAAGCCATGCTGTAGGGGCATCCCACATACAAAATATAGGAAGGTTGGCACAGATGTTAGCTCAGTGACAATTGTCCTTAAGCAAAAAGAGGAAAATGGTAAAAGATGTTAGCTCAGGTCCAATCTTCCTCACCGAAAAAAAAAAAGTTTCAGAGAAATTTTATTCCCAGACGTTAAAAGCATCCTCTTTCTTTATTCTTCCAAAGCTCTGTGAGGTATGTGGGGGAGTTCAGATAGAAATAACCTTTTCTACTTTGTTTAATTCTTCAGTAACTGTTTGATCCTAATTGTACAATGATCTCATGTAGAGTTCTGCATTTATTTCCTGAGAGAGCTAAAGGCACAGTGGGAGTGTAACAGACTTAAAAAGATACATCCGTCCCCCCAGAATATGAAATCTCCAGAAATGAAAAACTGTCCAAGAAGGAGCATTTTTTGCATGTAAATTGATAAGCAGTATATCCAAGTGATTCCTGGGAGACGGGCATTCAAACTGGTGTACTTGGTTGGAAGAATGATCTAAGGACAACCTTGCTCCCTTGGGAACTGCCACTCGAAGCGGCCAGTGAAGGTCACTCATTCAGGACACGCCTTTGTTTGGAAGGCGCTCCATACACGTTAGGAGCAGGTCCACTGGGGTTCTGTACCCAATGGCTCAGCGGGTGTTACAGTCGGTGCTGTCAGTACGCACCTATCTGCACAGCGGCCGAAAGGTGACAGCCTACGGGAGTGTTAGTGGCTGCTGTGAAATCATTTGCTGGTTTTGTTTTAATGTCACTCTCAGTAATTTACTGGTAACAATTTCAAGGTAATATTATTTTGGACTGAAGTTATTTCGAGGGTGGGTTGAGGTTAAAAGCATCTGTACATGCTCCTTGATTATCAGGGCCAACCAGTGTGACCCCGACCTCTGCCACCTTTTACAGTTTTCATTTTTGAACTTCAACCGAGGCCTTATCATGAAGAAAAAAATCGTAACAAATAACCTGCTAGAGTTTCTCTTTTCAATAGGAACTAAGTGTGTCAGGAAAACTGGAGGCAGCTGCCTCCTTGTAGAGAAAAAGGAAACTACTCGTCCTGTGTGGGATGCTCTTGTCATTAGTTTTCAGCTCTCCTCTGCATGACAAGTAATTGTTTAATGTGTCGGATCAAGTGCTGAAGGCAGAGACCAGGGAGAGGGGCCCAGTCTCTGGTCGGAACTCAGTGTGGAGCACAGAACGCCCATGCTGGGTCCCTTCAGTGGGGACCACCACCTGCCCTCCCCTCATCTCAAGTTCCAGAGGCTTCTCTCTAAAGGTCTGCAAAGGCAGGTGTCTGATGCATGCTGGAGAATGTGTCTTACTTGATCTTCCTAGAGCCCGACAAGAATACCAACAGCACCACAGATATTCTCCCAAGGCCATTTCTTGCCTCTGTTAATTAAAATAATTGTCTCATGTAATCTTAGTACGGCCAAATTATATTTGGGTAAGACACTAACTGAAGAGGAAAATTAATCAAGTATACAATTATTTACTTCTATCCTAGGGGACTTTATTCAGCATTCATAACACTTCTCTGAGTCTTACTTAGAGATTATTAAAGAAACCGGAGGTCGTGTCAGTACCTTGTCTCTTAGGACCATGGGACTTGTCACCATCAGATTGTCTTCTGGCTGCCTTTTGTTGAAACACTGTAAAAAACAGAGCACATATTATTCATGGAACATAAACATAAGAAAGAACATACTGTGGAGTCTCCAGGAAACTGGATGCAAAACATCATTTTCCTTAGTAACAATTCCCAAAATTGTATTATTTTTGAGTAGGAGGATTATTATATTTACAATTTTCTCATTTGTGCAGCTTATCAGTCATTTCAAAAAGCATTTTCTTTGGGCAGAGTAGTATAATGCTGATGGAATGCCTCATTAAACTATTTCAATCAAGATATGATTCCATTTTGATATCAGGTAAAGATAAAAGCTGCATTTTGTTAAAAGTGATAAATGTTAAAATCACATGAAAAATTCCATTTGCACAGAAATTACTCAGGCTGACTTTTTGGTGATAAGCAAGGATAATGACTGTTTCTTCTTAAACACATGAAAAGACTGCGTATTTTACAGATGTAACAATAAAAAAGACACTTTATTCTTGCATCATCTAGCTAGACCTCAGACCTATTAAAGGAGCTTATTCGAATTACTTCATTATCTGAAAAGTGCTTTGTTCTCATTTATTATTTCTCACATGAAATTCTCTGAGACAAGTCAGCATTACTCACCTCCTTTTGCAGATGAAAGATAAAATCAATTGTTTAATATTTATTGAGCACCCACAAAGCTCTGCATGGCTGCTGGCATTTGTTAATGAAAAAGTCCATACCCTTTACAATCCGACTTCAGAAATCAAACCCCCAGAGCCCCATGTATTCTCATGGGGAGTCTGAATTAAGGGCTTGGGCACCGGAGGAGGCCTTGGAGGTCTATCCAAGCTCCCATGTCCATAGCCCAGGGAGGCAGAAGTCGCTAACTTGTGAAGGGCCCAGGCCCCTGCAGCCATGCCAGGCTTGTTAGTGGGGATGTGACTAGGACCCTCCCACCTTGAACTTCAGTCTGTTGCTTAGCTCTTTATAGTACTGCTGCCTCTTCTCCTCCATAACTATGTCCTTCTGAAGATAAAGAAGGAGGTAAAGGGAGGGGATTGAAAAGCACCTGGGAACACTCCCAACGTGCTTGGCTCTCTTGTTCTTCCAAGCAGCTCATCAGGATTTCCTGGGATAATGGAGGGGAGGCCTGTGGGGTGACAGCGTTCCCGCTGCTTGGGGCTTGACCGTGCTGACTGGGGACGCATCCCCGCCGTGATCCTGGATCTCTGTCTTTGCTTTCAATATTCTTTAAATCAATCTCATATCAAGGTCATGTCTGTGATTAATCCAGACGACAATTTTTTGAACTTAAAAAGGTTCCCTAAATCATATCAAATCAATAATTATTTATTAAGCCTATATAATTTGCCAGCTGTTGTCAAGAGAAAGGGTGGTCTGCTCTCTTGTCCTCTTTCAAACAGGAGAAGCAAATAGATTTGCAGAGTATGACGTGTTTAAGAAAAATTATACACATGAAATAAGTTTTCTGGTTGAAAATCAAATTTCTGTTTCAAGTTAATATTTGAAAAACATGATAAACATAACTTACTGGCAAGTTCTGGGTTTGTGGCTTACATTTTTTCTAAAATAAAATAAACTGATGAATATATGGTGTGTGAATATATTTTAGGATATGGGAAAAATTTTTAAAAGTGGTGCTTGAAATTTTTCATGGGTTAGTTTTAAAAGTCTCAAAAAAATGAAATACTTTTGAAGTTTTAATAACATGCAGACACTGTGCTTTTTGCCAATATTGTCAAGGCAATAACTGAAACCGTCTAGGACAAAAACGCTGTAGTCTGGTATCATTAATATGGGAAATAATCTGACTCCAAAGATAAATTCAGAAAAAACATTCTCCAAATAAAAAGTACATTAATTGATAAGTTTTAAGAGTTCTGCTGAATTTTGAAGCTACAGTATACTTGGAAATGGAATATTTTTTTTCCAGCTTTTTAGAATTACTTTGTTAAAAATCACGTTATACCCTATATTTTATTGTAGCACCTTCTGTTGACAACAAACGCCTCACCCAGACTTTGTGAAATACAGTAAATGTTAAACAAGCGTACATCTCGTTTGGTTTCCAGATTAGGAAGTTACAGTGCGTAGTTATTTATTGTTGAGGGGTCATCAGGGCTGAGAGGTGGAACAGCCTGGGAGGGGTAGAGGATGGAGGCGGGAGAGGAGGATGCTCTGAGTAGGATGGTTATGAAAGTGCTGATAACGCTGAGAACTTTGGAAAGGCAGGATGTGCACTGAGCCATGCCCCACAGTACACGATCCTCTCCACCTGTACAACTGCCCTCGAGATCCCCTCCTAGCTCACCTCCAGTTGCACCCCTACACCTGTCCCCTTCTAACCGCAGACAAGACTCCTTTCCTTACGGAACCCAATAGCAATTAGCATGCTGCCAGACACACTCTTTCCTCACTGCGTGACAGCCAGGAGGTGTTGCAATGTGAGGTCATCTTGGGAAGGGACCTGTATTAACCTGTCCCCTGAAGAGTGAGCTAGCCCTTCGAAACGACCCCTGACGTGAACCTGCACACCACGGACATGGCCTCCATCGCCTTAGGAAAAGCATGGATGGATGTAACATCCCAGAATCCGTTAATCTTTCTTTTTACAGTAAATATTAGCTGAAGCATTTTAAATTGCTTCCATCAGCAAAACTTTTGTTCTAAAAAGCTTTGTATACTTTATATTTACCATGTTCACCCACACAACATTTATAAGAGAGAAATATGAAATCTACGATATAGTGAGAACTGAGCATTGGGTTGCGGATCACTCAGATTTATATACAAAAGTATGTATTTTTGTACAACAAGATTTGTGGTGAGTAAAAGGAGAGTCTGTTTTAAACATATAGTAATGGAAAAAACTCTATACGCCAGAATGCTAATCAGCTCGGCACCATAGATGGGGTAGCATTTTCTCTTAATATTAACAATATGTATGACATGGGAAAATGGCTTTCTCCTCCCGGGCCTTTATTTTCTTGCCAATAAAGTGAAGGCTTAGATGAGATGATCTCTAATGTCTCACTCAGCTCTGACATTCTAAGATGCAACCAATTTTCCCCCCAAGTCATTCCAGGCCAAATGGTGCCCTGAGAAATTCTTAAGTGAGTATGAATTTAAATAGAATGCTGTGTTTTGAGGAAGAGATTGTTTTTACTGGAGGCTTAGACTAATAGAAACACTAGAAAGTTAAATCACAGACTAATGTTAACTTTTTACAATATGTATGGAGACAATCCTTTCTCTATGTGTTTGAATTCTTGGAGGATACTATTTTTGACCAAACTTTACTGCATCAATGTTCGAATAACACTATCAAGGCAATTATGACATACATCAACTTTGATGACTCTCTGCCCCAGTGAAATCTTTTTTTTCTCTTCCTACCTAAAATTGGAATTTGAGAGGGAAGAAAAATGAATGCATTATTAGTAGATGTCACTACCTTTAGGCATTAAAAAAAATGCACAGAAAGAAAAACAACTTTTCAGGTTCAAAATAATCTCAAACAACGCAAATGTCCCAAATACCACCCCCATTTATTTTAAATATTGGTAGAACGACTTCTAGAATAAAAATGACATGGAATGGAAAAAATTAGCATAGTGTTAAATATTCAAAACGTTAAGCAAAGCAGAACTATTAGAAGAGCAGAGGAGGAGGAAGTGAAATATAACAAATTCACTTGCACTATTTGTCTTTCCAGGCTGCTTCTGCAAGAATATTCTTCATGTCAACCTCATTTGTGGCCTATTTCAAGAAAAGGGACTCTTCCAGAGTTGCCCTTCCTAGAAAATCTGATAAAGCTTATTTAGAATTGTTTTATAAATGGCTAAGGTAATGGAAAGTCTGTGCAATAGCCAAATGCATTCATAAAGATGTGAATTATAAAGGACAAACTCCTTGAAGTTCCGTGCCTATTAGAAGTGTAAAATGAAGTGTTGTTTAGAGCTATATACTTATCACTGATGATCACTCTTGACACTAGAAATTTGGTACAAAATAAAACAGACAGATCTGTGTTGTGCTCTCTGTTCTCAGGGAATGGTACTGGACAGGTAGCAGCCATGTGTTTGTTATTTGCTGAACAAGCTTTCATTAGGTTGCTCACTACATAGCCAAGTGCTGTGCTAGGTCCTGAGGAGACAAAGATATAAGAAACCCAGTCACAGGATCCTTACCGACCTCTATTTTAGGGTATTAATTTAAGCAAAGGGTAACTGTGTCATTAGCGCCTGCTGATGAGAGACGATAGAGACAAAAACCAATCAGGAGGGGCAAGGGTCATAGTGCAACGTCAGTAGCCTTCTTCTCCCTACCCTGTCCCCTCAGTTTGTACCCTGTGAAAGCTAGTCACAAAAAGGCAGGACGAGGCAGGATGTAAACAACCCCTTTGTCTGGCCAGCAAAGAGAGGGAGCCGAATGTTCCAACCCTGTAAGTAGTCACGTTAACTAATCAAACTGCAGCTCAGAGGAGAGAGACAGCCTCTTTGCAAACTGACCAAGACAGTTTGAGCACTCCAGTCAGAACAAAACCACCATTTCATTCTGCTAGCAATAGTTACAGGGTATTAATTTGAACAAATTTATCGAACGCAAGCCACTACATTTGAATAGGCACACTAGGGGTGGCGTGGCTGAAAACAGATGGTCACATCAGCCACAAAGAAGGTCTTTCACCAGAAAGCAGGTTACTGCCTGGCAGACATCCACGGTCAGGAGCTGTGGCATTCTTCTCTTTAGGGAGAATTTGCACATGGTTAGCAGCACTCTTGAGGTCACTGATGTGTTCATGACTGATCTTGATATTGGTAGAGTCGGAAAATTGGAAAACACATAACTGCATGAAGGAAAATGGCATGGAAATTCTAATTCAATGGCACTATCAATGAATGCTTTGGTTTCTTAAGGAGAAAAAATTAATTTTCTTTCCAATTCATAATGGAAACTTTTCCTGATAGAAATGTTCCCATAAAAATCCTCTCCCAAACCAGGAAATCTCACTATAAATTATTT